GAAAGCAGCCATTAATACGTCAAATACCGGGGTGGAAGAAGCAATGAATTGGCTACTTTCTCACATGGATGATCCAGGTAATTCGATATGTGCTGTCTTGCGTAAAACTTCTTCTTAGAAAGTAGTATCTTGCTAGCAAGAATTAGCTCGAGCTGATCTGCTCTTCCTTTTCCAGATATTGATGCTCCTATTTCCGAAGGGGGACAAAATGTGGTTGACCAATCAAAAGTTGATATGTTGCTTTCCTTTGGTTTTCAAGAAGACGTTGCTCGGACAGCACTGAAAGCATCGGTAAAATTTTTGCTTAGCTTCTTTTTCCTTTGAGAGTAGGTAGGTGCTATTAAGTAACCACGGAAGATTTTAGCAACCTTTTATTATTATTATCATTATCGTTATGATTATTATCACTAAAAAAAACCTTTAATATATATATATTTTTTTTGGCAGGGTGGTGACATTGAGAAAGCAACGGATTGGATTTTCAGCAATCCTGATGCTTCTGTTTCAACTGATATGGATGCGACAACATCAGAAAATGCACCTACTGCCGCTGATGCTGGACTACCTGATGGAGGAGGGAGTAAGTATCTCACACCTGTAATTATCTTAACACATACAGACGTGTGTTTTGTGTATAATACATATATGTTACGTTACACAATAGTTATTGAAACACATCTGCTAATGTGTGTGTGTGCACGTGTTTTTTTTATTTTTATTTAAATGTTTGAACTGTTGGCACTTGCTCGATGCAGGATATAGACTTATTGGAATTGTGAGCCACATTGGAACCTCTACTCAATGTGGTCACTATGTTGCACATATCTTTAAAGATGGTAGATGGGTTATTTTCAATGATGACAAGGTTGGAGCTTCAGTAAATACCCCAAAGGACATGGGATATCTTTATTTCTTTGAGAGACTGAACAGTTGAAAGACACCAGGAGGTTTTCACCATTGGAAGATGAGATCGAAGATGTTTGAAGTCGGAAAAATGCAGCGCATAATTTTGTGGAGCCTCAGCAATCTGCCAACATGCACTTGGTTTTGTGTAGTGTGGCTTTGAACCTCAGCCTTTTATTGTATGTTGGGGCGATGATTTTTCAATTTGCTGCATGGATTCATGCCATTTGCTGAGGCGCCGCATTCAGATTTAGCTGACCTCTACCCATTCCTCTTCTTCTTAACATATTGAAGTTCTCATGCTACCTTTGTACTTTATGAAGAGAAATTATGAACTATAATTTGCACAAGGACCGTCCGTTTCTAATGACAAGAAAAGTTTATGTTTCTATTATTACTGTTCTTGCCTTCGTGCCGTTCATTGTTAAAGTAGACTTATTTTATGGACCCAGGAAAAATGGGCTTTTTCCCTTGCGAGTTGAGGTGGAGGATGGGAAGTGATTTTGTTAGGGCTAGAATCACTTGTGAAGAGAAGCACCTCTTATGTGCTTCTTTATATAATCTCCATAAAATTTACTTAAAACAACTTAAATGATTAAATAAATAAGTGATTATTGATCCATCCAAAATCATTCAATTTTTTTCGAAAGTTGGTTTTTTTAATGAGGCCGTGTAAACCAGTTATTTTATGTTGAAAACTTGAAACCAAACCCAGCTGTGAGTTCTTTGAACTTTGCCACAAACCCGATCGTATTTGATTAATCTGTGTTTGCAACATCTTAAACTAATATCAGAAATGAAATGCAAATTTAAAAGCGAATTCCTGAATGCCCGGAAAATAGGATCCTCCAAAAAGGAAGCAACGTTGTGCTTACCAAAATTTAATAAGCTTAGAGATCAACATGCAATAATTTGCTTCGGTAATTTGGAATGGAGACTCAGTTGCCTTCAGATTATCTTCTTATTTTCATTTCTTTAACTAGCATTAGTACGTAATGCATAATCAGTCGTAAATGTCTCAGCTACTAGTGCCATGCAAATGCTGGTAAGCTGAGATTTGATCTGGTTGCTCATCCGAAAAGGGTTTAAGGGTGTAGTAACCAAAAAAAGGAAAGAAAAAAAAGGCGTCAAACCTTACCTTTTCACATGGGACAACACTTTTCTTTTATCTATTGGATTTAAATCTAGATATCCGGTGCCAATTGATTGAAACTAATGCACACGCTATTCGAGAGATGGCATAGGACCAATAATCTGGTATTTGTTTTGATTGATGAAGTTGAAAGCCTTGCTGCTGCTATAGAGAGAGAGAGAGACCAAATAAATAGAAGGCAAAAGTTGGGCTTCAAATCTCTACTTTCCCCTTTTCCCTCCCCTCCCCTCCTATTGGTAGTCAATCTATACTTTCCCCTTTTCCCTTCCCTCCCCTCTCCTCCTAATACTAAAATTGATGAAAATGTTATAATACTAGATGAAATGGATGCCTACCACACTCTAGAAATGCTCTAATGACTCACCCCAATTTCCATTCTATAATGTATAAGCCTACCACTATACCACTATAGATATTATTTATATATCACCTATGCCTATAAAAAGGCTTCTAAGATGAATAAGAATACAGAAGAGAAAACGGACCTAGAGCACATTTCTAGCTCTTTTCTCTATATCATATTCTCCTAAATTCTCTCTCAAATTCTCTTAAGTTTATAACACGTTATCAGCACGAATTCGCTTTCAAAATACCAACTGAGTTCTCCGTTTAAACTCCTCCACTTCATACCTTTCTTTCTCAACCCCCAACTACCAATCTCTCCAACTGCAGCGGAGAGATCAACCATTTCATCTAGTATTATAACACTCCCCCTTGGATGCCACCATACATGGAATATGCCTCATTAAAAACCTTGCCAGCAAAACCCAGTGGGATAAAAACTGGTCGAAGGGAAAAAGAGTACATAACCATGTGCAATGTAAAACTTTTGTCATGTGTATTTTGACCACTGACAAGCGTGCGACACCGCCTCGTTAAAACCTTGCCAGGAAAAACCCAGTGGGATAAAAACCTGGACGAAGGAAAAAGAGTACAGTGTATGAAGATCTTTATTGATTGCACGCTCCCCCTGATGCTCGGTAAAATATCTTTAAGATAATCCATCTTTCTGAATGTTGTGGTTGTCACGGCTTTGTTGCATCTTAAGTGAATAAATATGACTTTCAATTTGATGGATGCTCCCCCCTGAAGAATTATTTTCCTTTGATAACTTCATGATCCATCTCAAATGAAATTGATAGCACATTCTTTTCTCGTAGAGTGGGCTTTGGTAATGCTTGCACCATATTTGCTCTTGTAGCTTCAATTTATGGATGCTTCAGTCAGATGAATGTCTCCCCCTGATATCTTCATGACTATTTCTCTGGAGAGAAAACCCTTTTCCGTAGTGAGTGGAGGATATATTCCTGTAAGTGATATGAAATCAATATATCCTTATAATTAAATATACTTCGAGTGAATAATCTCTATGCAAATTAGAGAAATTTTCAGAATCCGCGTATTTAATAAATCATGGGCTACTTGTAAGTTTTACTTGTATAGAATATGCCCGTATATGTTAATCTGCGGAGATAGCATTAAATATGCATCACATCACCCTTACTGTAATAGTGATGGAGCTAAGCTTTAACTGGAAATACCGTGTCCGGTTACACTACCGGAAAATCCATATAAAAATGCTTCAATACTTTCTCAGTATAAGCTGATTGGTAGCCAAGAATTTCGTTGGCATAATGCTCAATCTTTAGGTCAAGACTTTATTTCTTGAACTCTGTTAGGAGTTTTAACCAATTATCAACTCTTCAGAAGTTGTAATGTGTTGCAACATTTCATAATGAATGTACTCACTGAGGCAATATATACTATTTTCATATTAATATAAAGTACAAAATTTGTGCTTTATGCACTTGTCCTTTAGGGACTTGCTTCATGCAATTTGAATCCTTCAAGGATTTTCTTTCAGGGATTACACTTCATGACACACTATATAGCTTTATACCCAACTATTTTGTCCCATTTTTGCATCGCTTATGGCGATATGCTCCGTGCATTTAATAACCCTTAAAGATAGTGTGTTAGTCTCCGTAGATGTGCAATAATTTCATCGTAGTTGCATATACAAGTATGGAGAATCTCATAATTCCAAGTTTCTTCCAGAAACTCTATGTCATATAGAAGTGAGTGTATTCCAATTTATTTCAAACACCCATGTATAACCTTCTGGGTTAACATCTTTTGGGGTTCTTATATGTTCTTTCACGTTCATTTGCCTCTTTCCATTTTGGCCAATGATTTTGTCAATATTTGATAATTGAACGTGGTTCCATTCAACATAGCCTATTGATGATTTGAGTAGCTACTTTAAAACCAAGAATATCATTCATCAATTTGTGATCTCACCATTCTTATGTGCATGCGCATGCATCAATAAGCATTTCTTTGCCTTTTCCCGGGTACCCAAGGCAATTTTAGGGACTTTCATTGTCTCCTTCTAAACATACATCTCTTATAAGATGAATTATGTGAGAATGTGGATCATAATCTCCTCTGGAGTGTTTAAAATAGGGCGTGAATAATCTCCATTCCAGGAGTTGGAACATTTGGAACACATATATCTGTCATGCTTTAGGCATGCCACAGACTAATTTTATCATGTCAATGGATTGTCTTTCTGGGACATAAATTCAAACAATTTGCTACGCACTCAACGTGCATCATATTGACATGTTGATGGATTGTCCTTTTTGGAACCTCAATCCACTCTATTTGCTACGCATTTGGCGTGCATTTAATTCACACTGTCATACCCATGAGTTACTCTTTATGAGCCTTTAATATATGCAGTGTTTTGCAATTTTCAGAATTTGCATTAATCTTTCATACCTGTTACATATATCAGGTAGTACAATCATGCGTTGATGAGACAATATATTCCATAATCATTCACGTCGTTAACCCCAATTCTCCCCCTAACGACGGAAAAATGGTCTCATCTAAACGATTCCAAAAGTATTATAAGCATAGTCTTTCGGAGACAACAAAAGACATAAAAATTCAGTTTCCCTTAATAGAATCACAAAGATACAGTATATCAGAGAATCTCTGGTTCTCAACAACAAGTGATAGGGAAAATGCTTATAATATAAAAGCAAACTCACAACAATCTATAAAAAGTGTGAGGCTTACAAACTTCCTTTGATCATTAGAATGTAGAGAGGTTACATGAAGAACATGAAATATACTGGAGAGATTCATGTTGTGATGGAAACGTACCATGCTTCATGTTCTGATGATATATCATCCATATTCTGATCCATGAAGCATATGGATCTTCCTCTTCTATCATATGTGAGAGAGGTATATATGTTCTTATGAACAATGTCCTCTCTTTCTTATCATAAATGGACCCAGAAGCTCAGTGAACGAGGCTGATCCATGATCAAACAACTACTTTATCAGAGTAGTGGATCATGATCAAAGATAATCTTGCTTCTGAAAGTCCTGATCAAAGATAATCTTGCTTCCAAGGAAATCTGTAGGATTCCTGAGCATGCCAAGTACTGTGGAGAGAACTCAGGTTGATATTTCATCCTTTGTTTCGAAAGCAACAACAAAGGGTATTTTGAAACTGTCTAATAGTAGGGAATATATATAGTAGAAATAAGAATATATAAAATAGGTGGCTTAAATGTAAACCATACGTTAGTCTCTAATCAATCAGATTACTTTTGATAAAATTCTCAATAATGATATAATATAATATATTGATGTATATAATATGTTATTTGGGTTAAATATATATAATTGTATACATATATAGAATATACTCATATAGATTAGTACAATAATATTTTATGTCACTACATGTTTTAGCTGTATTGTTTTCAGGAGAAGAGAAAACGGACCTAGAGCACATTTCTAGCTCTTTTCTCTATATCATATTCTCCTAAATTCTCTCTCAAATTCTCTTAAGTTTATAACAGAAAATTGAAAATTGAACAGATTATATATGCTAATAAAGTACAAGGGTATTATTAAAAAAAATTGAACCACAAGTCCTAAATACAAATTTAGTCAAACTACAAAGACCAAGGGTGTAATTTGGCCAAAAGAATACACCAAGAAGTAATCATAAAATAATAGGGCAACAGAACACAAAAAGGCATGTAGGAGACTCGAAGAAAATCCATTATTTCTCTCGTGTATAATATGTATATTCTCTTTTCTGTTGTCAAAATTTTCTGAGGAAAGGAAATAGTATCGCCTTTTTCTACGGGCTTAGTAAAAAGAGTAAAACTAAAAGTATAAAGATGGCACCTTTTATGGGGCCATGAGTCCTTCAATGGTGTAAGAGAGGGATTCTGCCCAGTCGGCCTTAAAAAGCAATGTCTGTAAAGTTTGCATCACATCATATCCTGGATCAAGCTTCCGTTGCCACCCCTAGTGAAAGAACAAGAAAATTTAAATACAACCAAAACTGACATAAATTAGGCCCATAAACTCTGAGCCACTTCCTTAAAAATATAAGATAACATAAAAAAACCACTAACCCCTATAGAAATGCAGGAAATGAGATTCAGAGAAACAAACAAATTGACCATAAAGAAACAATCGAGCTACAAAAATGCATCATTCAAATCTATATGCAACACTTTTTGCTTGCCTAAGCCCAGCAAGAAAAGACTTCCTGTATGGTATTATCTAGTGAGACAAACGAGTGAAGCAAAGGAAAGGATTAGTAAGTACCACACGTCATTGAATTATCCAGTGAGGTGATGGAGAGGAATTATAATCAGCAATCTTAGATGGTGGCAGATGATCAAAATTTTGTCCATGGTTTTCATACTAAAAATAATTGTTACAGTTTTCACCAGAAGTAAAGGCTGAAGTTGAACCATGACTGTGAAAGCCATCTTCAACTTCAAGAATTTTTGTTTCACAGAATGTCAACATATTTCCCTTTGTTAAACATCATCAGAAAATGAAAATTTTCTAAAAAAATTTAGGCAATTTGGTATGATCTTCATTAAGATCTACACAATGATTACCGAAGTAAATCTACTATTAACAAGTATATGGATCCTATTTACTTTCCTTCTCAGTATTTTGAAAATTGCATTCCCGAGAATGTGAAGCTAATGCAAACATTGAGATTTATGGGTGGATGTTATCTAAATTTGGAGACAGAACCATCCTTGAGTTTCCTTACAAAACTTAATTTATGAAAAATTACTTCCAGAAATCACAAGCTGCCATGATGTAGATTTCCATGGCATTGTCAGTTTTCTTAATTTTAAAACAAAGAAGGGTTTTCCAAATATGATACAGAGAAACCTCAACTTGCTACGGCAAATTTTACAAACCTGCTATTTGGCGAAATAGGGTGTTAAACCAGCAGTTCCTTAACTCTACTTATATGGAGCACTAACATGATTGCAACAAAAAACACAGAAAGGTAGAAAACAACACTGAGAACCAAAGAATTCAACGAATATGTACATTTTCACTAACTCATTGACATTCACGTAACATTGGTGACATATTACAGCCTACACTTTCAAACCCAATAAAATAAAATTACAGCCTAAACATGCAAAACATGGTCAGACATGCCTCTTCTTTCTCTAGCTCTATAGAACTTCAATAACTTCATTAGAATCTAAGTTTCATTGGGTAAAGCTATTGGATTTAGTATGTGTAAAGGTGTGTGACTTTCATACAGATGTTGGAAGAAAGCAAGGCCATACCTCAAGAACCAAAGTGGTCACCATCACTGTGCAAACATTGCCATCAATTCGGACTTTATGCCGCTGAACTTTCTCAAGCAATTGATGCATGCAATCAGCAGCATGGATGATGTCACCGTCTGGGGAGTACCAGATTTGGAAAGATCTTTCTACTTCCTGTTAAAGAAATGCTCATAAACTTATTCCTATATATATCCACAATGGGTGACTACGTTTTATCTCAATCTATATAAACAAAAAAAAAAAATAAAGCAGTTTGCAGAACTCAAATACCCAATTTGGGAATCAAAAGAAAATGGGAGGACTTCAAGAATCAAGGCACTAAGAACATGTTTAAGTATGCATCTTTTTATACAAGATTCAAGGCCACAGTCTTGTTTGAGGCCTCAGAGTCCGATTTGAAGCCTGGACAACACCTTGACAAACATATACATAATAATTTTTAACACATACTATGAATTATAAACAATGATTCCACTTATGGCCACGGCAAGCCCAAAGGAACAAAACAAATACTGTCCAACAATAACTTTTGAATTACTTTCATTCAGCATCAACATCACATAGGATCAAGAAATCCATCACAGTTGTCATGCTCTTAAGATATAAAATATGAAATATATTAACTATGCCGACTGAAACACTTAACTTCACAATAAGCTTGCGCCAAACAACATTCAATTGTTTTCTACAAACTGTAAAGGGTGTCAGACCAAAAAAAAAACTGTAAAGGGTGCAAGATTTTCTTCACATGTCCAAAATCGTAAGAAAACTAGCAAGCCCCATAGATCATTATTGCATTTCCACCACCCTTATTATGTCCAGGAACCAACTTTTTTCATTACCGGGTGCCATGGTCTAGCATTATGGTCCTAACATCCAATAAGTTCCTTTCTAATAAACTATTTAATTTTCAAGAGAAACTCAGAACTATGTCATAATTGCTGCACCAGGAATATATTAATGTTAAAAAAGTTGAAATGCACAAACGGTATTTGATTAAATGAGGGTATTGTGAAGAAAAATTTACATATTTGAAAATATCTTGAACCAGTAGTTCATATTCATGAAAATTATGAAGATAAAGTAACTTGGAAGAGTTAAAACATGGCCAACAGCCTTTAAGCCCAGAGTATCTCCTCTCCCTTACGAGTGGAGCGTGAGTTTTCGAAATTCAATTCTTCGCAGGTACATGTGTTGTAATCCTATCATTTGTTGGAAATGTTTATACAAATATTTTGGATAAACGAGGATCAAAATGTGGAGAAGAATTCATGACTAATATATTAGAAAAGCTTTGAATTTTTCTTTTTTGGGTAGATACGTATGAATTATTTACCGAAGTGGCGAAAGTGACAATTTTAAAAGCCTTAAATTTTCAATAACAAGAATTAACATTTTGCCTCCTACCATAAAAGCTATGCAGGAATGCATTACCTCAATGAAAGCCCTTGGGTTTGGACAGTCTTGTTGTCCAGATAATCTAAGGGTGCACTCTGCAACAGTTCGACCATCTCGAAGGGCTACAGCCTTAAAGAATTCCACTAAATTTAATTGATCTCTCTTAGAAAGTTCAGCAGTCATGCCCACATCAAGGAAAACAACATGAGGCCTCAATCTAAAGAGTTGTTTACTTGGTGACTTGCAACGGTATACTCTGACAAGAATATTCCCAGGATGCATGTCAGCATGAATAAAATTATCTACCTGACAAAAGAAAAAAGTGCATATCTTAGCATAAAAATAAAAGATGAGAACTGTCAAATTCAAGCTACTTCAAAATCACATCACAAGGCACTACTAGCTTCTACCGTCAAACAATCACAACTACCTAACTCTTTTACAAGAATTATACTGATTACTAGTACTGTACATCACTTACATGACTTTTTCACAGAATCTTTTAGCTTCACTCTTTTACTATAAATAGAAAATTCAATACATCACCAGCTCTTAAACAGGCATACAGGCTGCAAACAGATTGATACATGCATGTTGTGAAAACATTACAAATCTTATTCCTGCTTCACAGGTGTAAATATATAAATTTCCACTAGCCTCTGCTACCTGTACTTTAGAGTACGATTGCACAAACATTCAACTAGCCCATGTCCTATCATCATGGGTTCTAGGAAATTAATGCAGATATTGTTATTGGACAGTTGCATTTTCAAGACTGGTTAAGGATACAACATAAAGAAACCAAGTATATCAAGATGAAGGATTGACTAACACAAGTTAAAAAGATTACAATAAAAAGAAACTAATAACAATTGCAACATATTAAGTTGTACCAGAAGCATCTTTAACAGTGCATGCGTCCCAATGTGAGCAAGGGCATTCTTTATTGGTTCATTTCCTTCAAGCTCATCAACATAGTGCATAACACTTTCGCCCTGTTCATAAGTTTCCACTAAAACAGACGGGTGCACCAGGGGATATAGAGGCCTTGGAAATGAGACGTCCTTCCATCTTCGAAAATTATAGATAAAACGATTCAAATGTGCAGCTTCCCTTGACAGATCAACTTGTGACATCATGTAAATGGCAAATTGCTGTATGCTTTCATCCAATCTCAAAGACTTCAAATAAGGGATGAACCTCGAAATTTTGGCTATGCAATTAATAATCACAAAATCCCTTCTAATTGCTTCACCAACACCTGGATGTCTAACCTTGACAGCAACGACCATGGGCTTGATCTGCTGACCTGGGTATTTGTATTTGAGTATAGCTTGATGAACTTGAGCCACGCTTCCTGATGCCACAGGTTCCATATCAAATTTCTCAAATATTTCAGGCAGCTTGCGACCAAATGCCTTCTCAATACTTTTCTGGGTGAAGTTAAAACTATGTGCTGGAGCTTGAGTGTGAAGTTTTGCAAGTTCACTACACAAATCTCTTGGGAAGAGATCTGGTCTTGCAGCAGCCCATTGACCCCATTTTATAAATGCCGGGCCTGCTTTTTCCAGTGTAAGATGGAGAACACGAAGCCATATTTTCCTAAACTGAATGCCAAGGGACTTTGCAAAAGGTGCCATAGCTATGCATGGTGAGAACAAAACTGCTAGATATATTGCTCTGATAAACAAGATAATACACTCCAGAAGTGAAAACAAAAATAAGGTTAAATAAACATGTCCATCTTGGGCATGAAGGAATAGAGTGTCTTTTGTTGGGAGGCCTTCTGCTTCTGCCAATGTTCTCTGTGTCCGAGCAAACTCTCCAACTATGAAGGCAATAACACCAGGAGCTACTAGATTTGAGCGTGTCAAAGCCAAGCTCACTGCACGCGCAATTTGACCAGTTGGTGGTAAAACGGGGCCCCTATAGGAACATAACTGAGAAAGCTTTTTCCAAGCAAATTGGGCATGTTGAGAAACTCTCCTTCTTGGCGATAAGGAATATAAGTTTCTAGGACCACTACCCTGTAATAACTTATCTTTTGCTTTCTGTAACATAAATGGGGACTGCCCTCTTAAACAATTCTTATACCATGGAAATAATCTGCATAGGGTGTAAGGAGCTTCAACTGTGTAATATGCCCTGCTGCTTGCAACTTCTAAGTAACCAGTTTTCTGAACTGGAAGAAGGGATCTTGCACCCCTCCTTACATTTCCGCAGGCCAAAAATCTGCATATCACCAAATCTCTTCACCATACCACAACACAGTCCATCTAAGCTAGTAAACTGAAACGAGAACAAAAAAATGGAAACAAAACAAAGATACTACTCCAGCATGCAAATTATGCAGACATTGGTTGGTTCATTACTATTCCAAAATTTCAAACTATTAGCATATGAAACAACAAATTTATACTCTTAAAACACTCTATCATGCGTAAGGATCGCCAATCACTGGAGACCCAATACATGGAAATCAACAAAAATCAAAAGGTTGCAGATACAGAATTCCAAATGAGGATCAACTGAATTCATAGAATGATAAATTGTATTGGTCTATTTCTGTTTCCGCAAGCATAAGGTGTTATTTATCCATCACTTTCCTTGAAACCAAAAGTTTAAATAGCCCTGTGATCCATGCTAGGATGCTTATTTGGGCTCTATTTATATCCTAAGAAATGTGAATCAGTGTATTTCTGAATGCGAAAAGATTATTAATTCAGCCATAACAGAACCATAAGTTCAACCAATTGAAAAATTGGATAAATAAAAAAACCCAGCTCAGCTCAGTGAACCTCTCTGTTTAGTTGATGAGAAATTAAAATTAGCGGGTTATATTAATTGGACCCAGAAAGCAAAAATGAGCATAAACGAAAGGCTAGTAGGAGAGCATATTGATATCATTGAGTTAAGGTGTGACTCTCATTTGTTTTCTTTTCCCTCAGTTTTTTCAGCTACCAAACAAAGTGCAAGAATTCAATATTCAAACAGACGAAAGATAGAGACTTGGAGAACAGACGAGAAGGTTCTACAGGAAAGCAACCTGGACATGGTGACTGGATTCGTGATCGCCGTACTCTTTGAGACGCAGGTGGCGCAGTAGACTTGCCGGCATTTCTATCAAAACGACGGCGTATAAACCATCATCGGCGTCTGGAATGCCTCGGCCGTATGCCACCGTGAACGGCGATGATCGGGCGGCGCATGGTGGTGGTTCTGCCACGTGTCAGGTTCCGGCTGCTCGGAAGGTTGTGGTTTTTTGTTGTCTAATTTGGGTAAGAATTTGAACGGAAGGTCGCTCTGGTGGGATTTGAGTGGTGGTGAGCGGAAGTTGCTGCTAGGATTTTGGGCGTCTGGAGTTCTCTGCGGCTCTCAGCTTCGAATGAACGCCGTCTATTTCTTGGCTTTTTTTTCTTTTTTTGGGCTTTTTATTTTGGATTTGATCAAGCCCAAACCACCCGAACTGCCCAAATCCATCCATTCTTTAATGTTTTGTTTTAGTTCGAAAAACTCATCTACAATTTTATCCTCGTACAGAAAATCTATAATTTTACACGTGTTTTTTTTTTGTTTTTTCATCATACGATTTTATAGAGAAATTTAAATAAATAAATACATTATCTAAATTACAAATTTTGTGGATGTGGTTGAACCCAATTTCACTTGAGTACATATATTTTAATATGTTAACAAGTTTAGGACAAACTTTATTATTTTGGTCAATTTAATGAACGGAATGCTCACATGAGCTAGGGGATATCTCACATGAGCTAGGGGCTGTTCTTGAGAGAGAGAGAGGGTGGGGTGGATCAGACATGGTGTTGCCAATGCCGGAACCAGGATTTTTCCCGGGTATAGGCTAAATTTTTTTTGTGGCTTCTTCTATAATATCATGCTTCAAATTATCTAGATTTTTTTTTTGGTAAGGGGGGCAAAAGCCCAAAAACAGCTAGTAAACTCAAAAGAAAATCTCATTCTTCAGAAACCAAAATCTTTTTTCTTTTTATTTTTGGTAAGAAACCAAAATTTAAACAAGCAAAAACAAGCCTTGGAGCTATAAAACAATGGCTGGCTCTTTTACTTAATAAACGGACTAACCGGCACTCTCATTCCTTAAGAGAGGTCAGGGATTCGATCCCTGCTTTCGTACGGAGTCACCACTTTGGCCAATACTTTACCCCTTACGGGCCGACCCGGTGTGAGTGGGGATTAGTCTGTGTTGTGGTTAATGTTTAAAGGTGTCACCCATAATTGGGGCCCATCCAGGACCACCTCATGGTTCAGACAAAAAAATAATAATAATAAACGGACTAACAAAATGAAAGAAAACAAATCGACTCATTACTCAAAGGAAAACATCAGATCTTTAAAAATAGTTCTTTTCATGTATCGTAAGCGTATAAAGATCAGAGCCCAAACCCCCAGAAGAAAAAAAATGTAGAGAGATAGAGACAGAGACAAAGACCTGTGAGGCTTTGAGAGCACAAAACAGCACCCAAAAGAGAAAACTCAAAGAACCAGAACACAAGCAAATCTCAGAACTCCTAAAGAGATTTAATTTTCTTTCTTTTTTGGGTGTGATCCAGCCAAAATGGCCACAAAGAAACCACACTGAAATGAGGAAGAAGAAAATTGATGGATAGCAGAGCTGGTTCATTTATTTTGAGCTAGGAAAAAGAAGAAAGAGAGAGAGAGAAGGAAAGAAGGAGGAAGAAAAAGAAGGATGAGAAGAGAAGAAAGAAGAAAACTGGCGGAGAAGTAAGAAGCAAGAAGAAAGAAAAGTGTTGGTCCCGCTAGCCTCACCGCCTCCCTCGAAGACAATGTTGTCTGGCTTGTCCTTTCTATGGGCTGAGAAAAAGAAAAGGTGTTGTGTGTGTTAAACGGTGGGCTAATATTTAATTGTAGGGTATTTTTTTATACATTTAAGACTGAGTTGGAAAATCAGCCCTGGCCCAGAGCCCAGCCCAGCCCCTTCGTAGTTGGTGGATGGTTGTTAGGAAGAAAGAGAGAAGAGTGGTGGCGGCTCGGTGGTGTCTTTTCTTTTTCTTTTTTCTTTTTTTTTTGGTTCTTATCTTATGTTTCTATTTTTAAATTGTATTGAAACAGTTATGTTTTTTTGAGTATCCTACTGGTATTAGGATTAATACTTCCTGATCAATTAGAGCGCCTCCAAACTAGATGTGATTAGAAGACCACAACTTAGACTAAGACAAGGATTTGTCTTACAGTCTCCCACTTGGTCAAATAATCACTAAGGAAAACTCGAATTGATCACTTTAAGGTCTTGTGAAAGTATATCCAGATAAAATTCCCACTAAGGTCCGAAACACAAGGATCAAATTGGCCAAATTAAAAACACATGGAATAAATTGGCTAACTTGGTAAACCATAAGCACCATTTTTGCATTTAAGCCTTTCAAAAAAAGATGATTGGGTGCAATAACGGAAAAGTAACGGAAAGTGTAATTTACAATTACTCTTAGAAAATAGTGTTTTTGTAAATTTAGACCTGCGCAGGGTTAAAAATGAAACCAACTGAACATCATAAGAGTGCTCGTGTAGTTAAACTTTTAATTTGTTCATTCAAGAAAACTCTATTTAAAATAGAATAGAAAAAAACTATACACACAAAAAGGAATGACAAAAAAAACCCAATTAACTTTTTGTTTAGCACAAGATACAATCTAAACTAAAAGATATGGGGATTTCTCATACACACAAATAATATCATGGGAGTTCGAACATGAGACATCTTATCTGCAAGTCAATGCCGTTTTTTATTGGGCTAAACCTCATTGGCAAGCCCAATTAACTCTAAGAAGAAAATCAAAAGCAAAACTAAACTAGTTCTATTTGGACGTGATGAATCATCTCAAATCAGGGAAAGTCCAAGGCTCCAAAGATTCTGTCGACTGTTGTCTGGTTTGATGTAACCAAGTCAAATGTTCCAACGAAAAGACAGAGGTTAAAACGTAGAAGGAACTGCAATATTTATTATGGACATAGACCCATTTTCTTGTGTTTCTTTTTCATTTCCAGTCCACTGTACTTTCAATTTCCCTTCAACTGCTTTTTCAACATCCTTAAAATTTCTTGACAAGATATGCACGCAAACAGAATCAACTTTTTACTCAAAATGAGGTAGAAATTAATTTTGTTAAACTTCAACGTTCTAAAAATAATTAGAAAATTATACATTAATTCAAATTCGAAGATAAACTCAGAACACTAATTTAAAAACTCACACCAACTTTGATTCCTGCATGCTACACACCCTCAACTGGTTAATTCATGATGTTTCTTTCGTACAAAAGTTTGGTGGCGTTCAAGCCATTGGGAATGTCATGGTGCATTAAGATATTGCTGCAGAAACTATCCCTCTCATCTTCAGTGCTACTATTGATGTACGTTATAGCCGGTGACGAATTCAATGTGGTTGCCGGGCTTGACGAAGGTGTTGACGATAGAACTGAACCAAAACTACTCATGTTCTGAAAGTTTTGATATTGATTCACGTTATTGGAAGTGCATGGCTGGTTGTAATTTTGGTGCGGAATATAGCTAATCATGGACTCATATTTAGAGTCATAATAACCCAATTGGTTTGTTGTAGGAACAAAACCCTGGCCAGCTAGATTTGAAGAACTCGGGTAGCTAAGAAATGGGACATTTAAAGTGTTTGATGTTGTGCAAGTTTGGATTTCTTGAACCGGGTTTTGGATCTGGTTTGGTTGGGTCAATTGGGATTGAAACTGGGTTTGATTAATTTGTGAAAAACCAATTTGGTTTTGCTGGCATGATAGGAAAGTGGTGGCCAAGTTGAGGAGGTCTGGATCCATTATAGGTCCAATTCCAAGCAGATTTGGAACATTAATCTGCGGATTGTGTGGTGATGATGAGCTGTAGAGAGTTGAACAGATGGCGGAGGAGAGTTCAAGAAGATCAAGACGTGGAGTGTGAGTCACAGGATCAATTCCCATTCTCAATAGCCTCTTTCTGATGTGTGTGTTCCAATAGTTCTTGATCTCGTTGTCGGTTCTTCCTGGCAAGCGAGAAGCAATAGCAGACCACCTAACAAGGCAGAAAGAGGAAATATTTAATTATTAGCTTATAGTTAGGTAAGATGGAAAAGTTTTAGGAAAATGCATGGAAATAACTCACGCCAGAAACTATACAAATTTTTGATAATTTAGATTGACGGTCTAATAATAGAGCGTGCCAAAAGTCTTTTTAACGTGCCCAATCCTCTAATAATAATATAGTGTACGTGCCAAAAGTCTCTTTAACAAAAATATCTTTTTATTTTTTGGACTGATTTCTAATTAGGTAGAATAAATGTAATTAATGAAGGGAATGTAGCTTAATTGACAGGGGATGTAGACGTACTTGTTTCCCAAAACACTGTGCAACTGTATTATAATCTCTTCTTCTTCAAATGAGAACCTCCCTCTCTTAATGTCAGGTCTTAGATAGTTTGCCCACCTGAGGCGACAGCTCTTTCCACACCTTTTTAGCCCTATACACAAAACAACAAAGGGTTATTAAAGCCTTATATCCTAGTATAAATATACTAAATAAACCACAATTAATTAAACAAAAAAGAACCAATAAAGAAAGAAAAAATAATGCAGAAGTACTCATTTGTAAATTAATTCACCTGCATTCTTAGGTAGGGTTCGCCATCTCCCATGCCCGTGTTTCTGAATGTAATCAATCAGTTTTTTATCTTCCTCCGGAGTCCATGGACCCCTTTTCAATCCATTTTTTTCACAACAAGGAATTTTCCCCATAATATTCGTCGAAAACAAAAACTAGTTTAGAAACCAGTAATGTATGCTTGAGAGAGAGAGAGAGAGAGAGAGAGAGGATTTTGAGGTATTGATCACTTGGTTTGAGGTGAAGAAGCAAACTAAGAGCAGAAATGTTGGTGTAGGGCAAGTGTGAGGGAGGATATATAAATAGGAGGGGAAGGAAAGCAAAAGCGAAGCAAATTGGGAAGTCAATGGGATTGGGTAATGGGTACCGCCCTTTTAAGGAGACGTGTGTCTTGTTATGACGAAAAATTACAGAGCTAGCCGCAAATTTTCGAAATAAACTCATTTAACTTTTTGTTTAGCACAAGATACAATCTAAACTAAAAGATATGGGGATTTCTCATACACACAAATAATATCATGGGAGTTCGAACATGAGACATCTTATCTGCAAGTCAATGCCGTTTTTTATTGGGCTAAACCTCATTGGCAAGCCCAATTAACTCTAAGAAGAAAATCAAAAGCAAAACTAAACTAGTTCTATTTGGACGTGATGAATCATCTCAAATCAGGGAAAGTCCAAGGCTCCAAAGATTCTGTCGACTGTTGTCTGGTTTGATGTAACCAAGTCAAATGTTCCAACGAAAAGACAGAGGTTAAAACGTAGAAGGAACTGCAATATTTATTATGGACATAGACCCATTTTCTTGTGTTTCTTTTTCATTTCCAGTCCACTGTACTTTCAATTTCCCTTCAACTGCTTTTTCAACATCCTTAAAATTTCTTGACAAGATATGCACGCAAACAGAATCAACTTTTTACTCAAAATGAGGTAGAAATTAATTTTGTTAAACTTCAACGTTCTAAAAATAATTAGAAAATTATACATTAATTCAAATTCGAAGATAAACTCAGAACACTAATTTAAAAACTCACACCAACTTTGATTCCTGCATGCTACACACCCTCAACTGGTTAATTCATGATGTTTCTTTCGTACAAAAGTTTGGTGGCGTTCAAGCCATTGGGAATGTCATGGTGCATTAAGATATTGCTGCAGAAACTATCCCTCTCATCTTCAGTGCTACTATTGATGTACGTTATAGCCGGTGACGAATTCAATGTGGTTGCCGGGCTTGACGAAGGTGTTGACGATAGAACTGAACCAAAACTACTCATGTTCTGAAAGTTTTGATATTGATTCACGTTATTGGAAGTGCATGGCTGGTTGTAATTTTGGTGCGGAATATAGCTAATCATGGACTCATATTTAGAGTCATAATAACCCAATTGGTTTGTTGTAGGAACAAAACCCTGGCCAGCTAGATTTGAAGAACTCGGGTAGCTAAGAAATGGGACATTTAAAGTGTTTGATGTTGTGCAAGTTTGGATTTCTTGAACCGGGTTTTGGATCTGGTTTGGTTGGGTCAATTGGGATTGAAACTGGGTTTGATTAATTTGTGAAAAACCAATTTGGTTTTGCTGGCATGATAGGAAAGTGGTGGCCAAGTTGAGGAGGTCTGGATCCATTATAGGTCCAATTCCAAGCAGATTTGGAACATTAATCTGCGGATTGTGTGGTGATGATGAGCTGTAGAGAGTTGAACAGATGGCGGAGGAGAGTTCAAGAAGATCAAGACGTGGAGTGTGAGTCACAGGATCAATTCCCATTCTCAATAGCCTCTTTCTGATGTGTGTGTTCCAATAGTTCTTGATCTCGTTGTCGGTTCTTCCTGGCAAGCGAGAAGCAATAGCAGACCACCTAACAAGGCAGAAAGAGGAAATATTTAATTATTAGCTTATAGTTAGGTAAGATGGAAAAGTTTTAGGAAAATGCATGGAAATAACTCACGCCAGAAACTATACAAATTTTTGATAATTTAGATTGACGGTCTAATAATAGAGCGTGCCAAAAGTCTTTTTAACGTGCCCAATCCTCTAATAATAATATAGTGTACGTGCCAAAAGTCTCTTTAACAAAAATATCTTTTTATTTTTTGGACTGATTTCTAATTAGGTAGAATAAATGTAATTAATGAAGGGAATGTAGCTTAATTGACAGGGGATGTAGACGTACTTGTTTCCCAAAACACTGTGCAACTGTATTATAATCTCTTCTTCTTCAAATGAGAACCTCCCTCTCTTAATGTCAGGTCTTAGATAGTTTGCCCACCTGAGGCGACAGCTCTTTCCACACCTTTTTAGCCCTA